TGAAGATTCAGGGGTTTACTCTCTCTAGCTCCTTCTCTTCAAGAATTTCCCCCATATTTCTGGTTTGTTTGCCAGGACCTCAATCTGTTTTCTGTCATTTTTTTTTTTTTTTGGGTGGAGGTGTGGTGAGACTATTTCTGTGTAGTCCTGGCTGTCCTAGAACTCACTTTGTAGATCAGGCTGGCCGAGAACACAAGCGATCCACCTGCCTCTGCCTCGGACTGCTGGGATTAAAGGCATGGCACTGCTGCCCGGCTGTTCTCTGCCATCTTAAGCTGCTGAGACTGGCGTTACACTGGTAAAGCACTGTGGACTAGGAAATTCGCTCAGTGGTTTAGAGACCAGCTGCTCTTCCAGAGGACCTGGGTTTAACTCTGAATGTCCAAATGATGGCCACAGCTGTTTTTTTTTTTTAAAATGATTTATTTATTTTTATTTTATGTGCGTTGGTGTGCCTGCATGTGTGTCTGTGTGAGGGTGTCAGAACCCCTGGAACTGGAGTTACAGACAGTTGTGAGCTGCCATGTGGGTGCTGGGAATTGAACTTGGGTTTTCTGGAAGAGCAGCCAGTGCTCCCAATCTCTGAGCCACCTCTCTAGCCCCAGCTTATAGCTGTTTATAACTCTAGTTTTAGGGGATCCAATATCCTCTTCTGGTTTGTGGGCATTACAAACATGCAAGCAAAAATAAACACACACACACACACACACACACACACACACACACACACACACACACGTATGTATAAAGACTTGAAGTTTGTGCCTATAGTGGATATTCTCTAGTGGCTTCAAATTGTTCTTAGTATTTTGTTGAGATTTTATAATCATTGTCTGTGGAGTGTTAACCCAATGAAGATATTCTACTGTACCTTGAATAAGGCATTATAATTAGAAGGCAAAACAGCAATAAAGAAAACTACAAATGCAAATACCAAAACAAAGTATATGTGATTCATGTGTTAAGTCTTTCTTTTTCTTTTTTTTTCCGAGACAGGGTTTCTCTGTGTAGCTTTGGTGCCTGTCCTGGATCTTGCTCTGTAGACCTGGCTGGCTTCACAGAAATTCACCTGGCTGCTTCCCGAGCGTGTGCGCCACCACAGCCCGGCTGTGTTAAGTCTTTCTTTCTTTTTTTTTTTTTAAAGATTTATTTATTTATTATGTATATAGTATTCTGCCTGCATGTGTCCCTGCAGGCCAGAAGAGGGCACCAGAACTCATTACGGGTGGTTGTGAGCCACCCACCATGTGGGTGCTGGGAATTGAACTCAGGACCTCTGGAAGAGCAGTCAGTGCTCTTAACCATTGAGCCATTTCTTCAGCCCTGTGTTAAGTCTTTCTATGTGCCTTACTATGCTACATAATGAACAAAACAGCCCAAAACAAAAACAGTAAAAAGCTTTGTAAAGACAGTTGACGACATATAAGAGCCATTTACTCAAAATACATCCCTACACCAACCAAATCCCAAGGTGCCATGGGGCATGTTACTCTGTAGAGTCCCTACCTGCCATTGACAGGCCATGTCCGGGTGATGTCACTTACATAGCAGGAAGATTCACAACCTCCATCAAGAAGCACCATCTCACCGTCCTGGAACAAAGAAAGGGGAGGAGGGATCCATCCAGCAATCTCACAACTGCAGGTTGTTTCTTCCTGTCTAAATGTCTGGGGGTGGGGGGGGTAGGGGCGGCTGGAGAGATGGCTTGGTGGTTAAGAGCACTTGTTCTTGCAGAGAAACTGAGTTTGGTTCCCCAAACTCCCATGGTGACTCACAACCACCCATAAATCCAGTTCCAGGGGATCTGATAACCTCTTCTCATCTCCATGAGCCCATGCAGACAAAACACTCACAGACACAAATTAAGTGGAAAAGAAAAGTCTTTGGGGCCAGCAGGATGGTTCATTGAGTAAGGTTGCTTGCTATAGAAGCCTGACAATCCTAATAATAATAAACTATGTATGTTAATCTACTTCCTTACTAAAACGCAATTACTCTTAGCGTCTTCCTCTTAGGGTCTCTGTGTATAGCTCTGGCTGGTCTGGAACTTGCTATGTAGACGGGGTTGGCCTTGAACTCACACAGATTACTACTCTTGGCCTCTTAATTTTAGCATTTCTTTCCTGCTGTCAAAAGACATGTGGGAGAGAAGAAAACGTTGAGTGTATTTGTTCTGATTTAATCATGCCCTTAAAGATAGGGCATATCTTTGTCATATATAAATAAAAACAGACTTTGGCATAAAAATGATGGCATTTAGCCAGGTAGTGGTAGTGCACACCTTTAGTCCCAACACTCAGGGTGAGGGTGAGGAGTAGAGGCAGGTAGACCTCTGAGTTTGAGGCCAGCCTGGTCTACAGAGTGAGTTCCAGAACAGTAAGGGATACACAAAGAAACTATGTCTGGGGGAGGGGAAAGAGGATGGAAGAAATGGCAACAGGATGGAATAAAAGTCCCTGCTAAAAGCCAACTTGGCCCTATATAAAACACTTTATAAAATATTCACATTATATAAAATATATTGGAAAGATTTTTTTTTTAAAAAAAAATGTGCATTAGTGTTTTGCCATGGGAAATTTCAGGTCCTCTGAAACTTGAGTTATAGACAGTTGTGAGCTGCCATGTGGGTGCTGGGAATTGAACTCAGGACCTCTGAAAGAGCAGCCAGTGCTCTTAACCACTGAGCCATTTTTCCAGCCCCCTGAAAAGACTTTTGCTTAAAAAAAAAAACCAACCCAAGGCTGGGTGTGGTGATACACACCTTCAATCTTAGCACTCAGGAGGCAGAGACAGGGAGATCTCTGAGTTCCAGGCTAGCTGGTGCTATACAGCAACACTCTACCTCAGAAACAAAAACAAAAACTAGACCTGGCAATTGTGGGTGAAGTTAATAGCACATAGGACATGTCCCAACGATGATCGCTATATCGAACACTATCACCTAGAACACGACTGGGTCGAGGCAAGGGGAAGCATCAAACAGAGAACAGAAAGACAGGTGCAGGACACATCTATCTGAAGACCTTGAAGAAGTAAGGAATGAATAAACAGGGATGATGATACCTTAAGAATTGTATCTGAGATACTGACAACTGATTAAAGACATAAACCTATAGATGTGGGAAGCAGAATTAAATTAATTTACATAAAACCAAGTTGGTTTTTTGGGAAAGGGTCTCTCTATGTAGCCCTGGTGGGCCTAGAACTTACTATGAAGACCAGGCTGGTCTTAAACTCATACCAGAGATCTGCTTGTCTCTGCCTTCAGAGGGCTGGGATTAAAGGCACAGCACACAAACCCAGCTATCATGTTTACTTCTTAAAGTAACTGTCCAGTGAGATTTATTTTTGAGAAAAGACATATTAACTATGATTATGGAGCAGATTTAAACATGACCATGACTTAGGTAAAATAGACAAAGTGGTAGAAAAATGTATAAAGTTATCTTAGGAAAAGAAATTTAATTGCTATACTCACTTTAGAAATGTTTGGTATTATCCAAGATGCAAATATGTGCATCTTTCAACCCAGCAATTCTACTATTACATGTTCCTTGGATAAACTTGATATCTTAACCACTAAACCATCTCTCCAGCCTCATACTTGACATCTTATATGCCAGGACAAAGACTATAAGCCCAAAGAACACTGTTTTTTTGTTTTTTTCCGACAAAGGGTTTCTCTGTGTAGCTTTGTGCCTTTCCTGGAACAGGCCCAGGCTAGCCTGGAACTCACAGAGATCCGCCTGCCCCTGCCTCCTGAGTGCTGGGATTAAAGGCGTGTGCCACCACTGCTCGGCTAAGAACACTGTTTTTAACATTGTAAATTTGGAAATAACATATAAATGTCTACTGTCACATTAAGAAATTAAGAAAAATTTAGAGCTGGAGAGATGGCTCAGAGGTTAAGAGCATTGGCAGTTCTTCCAAAAGTCCTGAGTTCAATTCCCAGCAACCACATAGCGGCTCACAGCTATCTATTAATGGGATCTGGTGCCCTCTTGTGGCACGTAGGTGTACATGCAGATAGAGCACCATACACATAAAATAAATCTTAAAAAAAAATTATAGCATTAAAGTCACTTTAAAATAGCAGTTGTGGGGCTGGTGAGATGGCAGAGGGGTTAAGAGCATTGGCTGCTCTTCCAAAGGACCTGGGTTCAATTCCTAGCATTGGCATGGCTCACAACTGTTTGTAACTCCAGTTCCAGGGATCTAACACCCTCACATAGACATACACACAGACAAAACACCAATGCACATAAAAATTAAATCTTTTAAAAAAATTGTGAAATAAATAAATTAATTACAAAAATGAATAGACAAGCAATTCTATTTGTTTTTGTTTTTATAATAAATTCTGAGAATGTGATGTCTAATTAAATCTAAATGAAATGAAAAACAAAACAAAACAAAATAAACTAATTGTGTTTGCGCTATACAGCACCCCTGGCACCCCAAGTCTGACCCCTAGCACTCCAAACAACAGTACAAAGCCCAAAAAACACTGCATATGCCTGGTGTTCCAGCTACTCTCAGAAGGTTGACACAAGATGATGCTTAAGGCTGGGTTACAGGGTTAGACTTGTCTCTTTAATTCCGCCCCCAAAACTCTATTACTTAAGTCTCATTTTTATGAAACAAATGATGTTTTTAAATAAAAAGTTAAATGTTAAATGTTGTAATGTCCTAATTTCTTTTTCTTTTTTTCTTTTTGTTTTTTTGAGACAGGGTTTCTGTGTAGCTTTGGAGTCTTTCCTGGAACTCACTCTGTAGACCAGGCTGGCCTAGAACTCACAGAGATCTGCCTTCCTCTGCCTCCCCAGTGCTGGGATTAAAGGTGTGTACCACCACCGCCCGGCCTGTAATGTCCTAATTTCTATGAATTTCTGTTTAGCTTTTGGGAAAGGTGGCTAGGCTTACCATGGCCTTGGAGTTCAAGCCGTTGAGTATCACATCACAAAGCCTCTAGGTTACTCCAAAGAGAGTGAGAAACATCACACCATGTCTTAGTCGCTCTATGAGAATTGACTTAACCCTTAGACCCTCCTTTGTTCTTCTACACCAGTGAAACAGACACATTGCAGCTGTATGCCACCGGAGGGCCGTCAACCAGGCGGAGGCAAAATGGTTTCAAAGCTGGGCTGCTATGCCCACTGTAATGCCAGCACTTGGGAGAGACACCAAGGCAGGAGGATCGCTGCAAGTCTGAGGCAGGCTTGGGCTACAAGAGAATTCTAAGCTAGCCTGGGCTATGGAGTAGGATTCTGCCAACAACACCACCCTGCCCCCAAACATTCTGAGGTTATATAGGTTAAAAAATAAGGGCTGGAGAGATGGCTCAGAGGTTAAGAGCACCGGCTGTTCTTCCAGAGGTCCTGAGTTCAATTCCCAGCAACCACATGGTGGCTCACAACCATCTGCAATGAGATCTGGTGCCCTCTTCTGACCTGAAGGGATACATGCAAGCAGAACACTGTATACATAAATAAATAAATCTTCTTTAAAAAAAAAATAAATAAATAAACAAGATTGCTAGGTGGTGGTGGCACACGCCTTTAATCCCAGCACTCGGGAGGCAGAGACAGGTAGATCTCTGAGTTCGAGGCCAGCCTGGTCTACAGAGTGAGATCCAGGGAAGGCACAAAGCTACACAGAGAAACCTTGTCTCGAAAAACCAAAAAAACAAAACAAAACAAAACAAAACCAAACCAAACAAACAAGATCAAATATGTAAATGCGCATTAGTGGTAAAGGCAAACTAACGGACTGGTGTGGACATGAATGCAGCTCGGCAGTGCTTGCTTAGTATGACCCAGCTTTGGGTTCCATCCCCAGCACTGCACAGAACTGGGCAGGGTGGCATCTCCCTGTAATCCTGCCTTAGAGGGAGAGGCACACCGGAAGGGTCAGGGTCATTCTTGGCTACTCCCTGGGTTCAAGGCCAGTCTGGGCTATTTCAGACTAGGTCTCTAAAACACCACCATCACTTACACCAACCAACCAAAAAAGACAAGACAAAGACATGATTACCACCACAATAAATTCACAGAAAAAAAAAGACGATCCTGAACTAGTAGGTTGAGAAAGCCCACAAAGGCAATCCAGCTCAAGTAGCTCCACAGGCATGGCGACACTCTGGAGGCTACCCGCCTGGTCTCAGACCCTGCCTGTGTACTGTGGCTTGCTAAAGTTTAGATTATCCTTTTCGTCCACTAAGCAAGCATGCTAGTAATTGTTCTTACCTCACAGGGCTACTCCAAGGACTAATGAAATAACATCCATAAAACCATTTTATAGCTCATAAAGTGCTTTTTAAATGGCATTCCATTGGCGAGGGAAGGGTAGTGAGTTTTCTACTGGGGAACCCAGGCCTCTCAGGGAGCAGACTGCAGGGGCATTCTGATTACCTTGATGAGCTGATTGTTCTTCACATAGTGCAAAGTGTTCGAGCGATTACCACCTGCAACCACGGGTGGGTAGGCTAAGATGTCTGCACCTCGGGCTCGGCATTCAAATTCAAACTGTGAAAAACAACAAAGTTTGACTCACACGTTTTCTGTGGAACTGTTCCAGCTCAGGCTGTCTTCAGCCACCACAGAGGTGCTTACTCTAAGTCATTACTGGAACACTGGTCATACCTAACCAAACATTTTATGCCATCAACTCAGCACACTTCTTTGACGCTTACTTGATGGACTATATATATATTCTAGTCTATAAATGCCCTCTTACTTCAATCCTGTCATCCAGCTTCACTATACACATGTATTTGTTGAGGCAGGAGCTCATGGAGCCCAGACTGACCTCACACTTGAGGATGACCCCGACTCCTGACCATCATGTGTCCATTTCCTAAGTGCTGCAATCTGAATGCACCAATACATCTGGCCCGGACCTTAGTTAATCTCCTGTAATTTAAGCTTCCCATGGTTTTCAAAGTAAGTCCGGAAGACAGAGAAAATATGTAAAGAAGGCTGAGTCCAAAAAGACACACAAGGCTATTCTTATCAGCTAAACAATAACATATGGCTTAGATTTGTAACACTACCTAAACACGGCTATTTGTAGTCTTGCAAACAGTTATCAACCTGAGTGCTCGGGGTAGGAAAAGGATGCTGGGAAACTGTAAACTCTGCCACCTTCAGTACACCCTGAGGGCTGCCCCACTGGCCCCACTAAGTGTTGCCCCAGACCTTCCTTCCTTTACATGGACTAGGTGTTTGTCTCCGTTCATACTGTCTAATCTTTCCTCACTGGCTCTCTCTGCACTTTTCTTCAATGTAACTCTGCATGCTTTAGATGCATAAGTTAACAACACTACGAGAAGGAGATGCTGTCACTACTCTGCCTGCCTGCAAGCCAATACCACCCACCAACCAGAGAATTGACTAGACATTTGCCCCGACAGGACCTTTCTGCTACCTGAGCTTACCTTGGCATAAAGAAAGGCTTCGTCTACCGGAGCTTTACTGGAAAACATGGTCTCTATGAAAGCCTGGAAAAAGAGGGGGTAGGGGAGAATACAGTCTCATTTTATCTATCACTCAAACATTCAAAATGTTGGGGTTCAAATAAACTGCACCTTTCCCAGCCAGTGTGGGCTGGGGTGGGGGGCACACGCCTTTAATCCCAGCATTCAGAGGCAGATGCAGGTGGATCTCTATGTGAGGCCAGCCTGGTCTACAGAGTGAGTTCCAGGACAGCCTGAGCTATAAAGAGTTTTCTCATCCAGATGCTATGACTAAGTAGTACATTTCAGGAGGGAAAAGAAATATTGCTTTCTGGAATAGTTGATGGATGACAGACTTAGGTGTTAAGGCACTCAATCTTACAACTCAGAATATACACTGTATGTTAGTTAGAGTCAGCAATCTGGAAATGTCTATGTCTTCTCCAAAACTCATGCTGAGCCAGGCATCAGTGCATGTCTTTAATACAAGCACCCAGGAGGCAGAGGCAGAAGGGTCTCTGTGAGCTAATTAGAAAAACAAAACTAACAGATACAGACACACACATACACATGTATGTACACAATAAATATATCTCTAAAACAAGACAAAAGAAACCTAATCCTCACTGGGGTGGTATCACGAAGGTCAGGGCCCTTGAAGTGATGAATCACAAGGGCGGACCCCTCAAGGACGGGATTAGCAGTTTTGAGCGGTGTTATTCTGAGTTTCTTCAGCTGTGTGAGGACCCCTATTCAGTACCACTTATGAAGATACAGGCCCTGCTGTCACTTGGTGAGGCGGTAAGGCCAAAGCACTGGGTCACGCCGTAAGCAAACAATGAGCTGTAACATGTGCAGAGAGCACTCTGGCCAGAGGAAACCTGACCCACAAGCTCCAAACCAAAAGATGATGACATGCAGCCTAGAGCCAACCAAGAAACGCCACAGCAGCTGGAAGCAAAAGCCCGCCAAAAAGCCACACATAAATACTTCAGCCCTTTGTTTAATAAATGAGATTGCCTGCAAACCTCCCAGTCTTTGTTGTTGACTCTGCGTCTACCCATCCCCTGCCCATGGGTATCATAGACTGCGAGACCCCAGATACAGAAGATCTTGGACTTCCTATTCTCCAGAAGTTTTAAGAAACAAACAGCCGTCACTGATGGAGCTAAATTACTCTTAGGTGTTCTCAGCGGTACACAAAAGAGGAAGCAGCCCATGCGTCATTATGTGCCTGCAGTTCTGCTATGCGAAATTTGGACTGAATGGCCTAGTCTACAGCAGGTTTCCCGACTTCAGTACTGCCCCCCCCCCTTTTTAAACTAGGGCTGGAGGGATGGCTCCGTGGTTAAGGGTACTGGGTGTGATTCCCATCAACCACATGGCAGCTCATAAGCATCTATAAATCCAGACCCAGATGATCTGATGTGTTCT